GTAGTCATATATACTATGCTGTAGTGTATACTGGAGCATCCATGCAGAAGGCTGGCAGCCCTGCGTACAATGTCTATCCATGGATATCGAGGCTCGAAGATGGATGTAGATCTGTTTCATTCCTTCATTATACAAGAAAAGTAAAATTCAAAACTAATATTACTGAGTGTCTTGTGTGAAAACTGAAGTGTGTTGAGTTTGATCACTGATCATTATTCTCTATTGTTCTAGGTTCTAGGTTGAGATACCTTTAACTTGGCCCTGATTCAATGAGGAAGACCAGCCTATTGAAGAGGTAAGTGTGCCTTCAGCTACAGCTATATATATACATGTAAATTGTGGCTTGTACATGTACATGCATGTACATGTGCATGCATGTACATGTACTCGGCATTATAGTGTAGCTAGCTAGCTATAGCTACATGTGCAAATTTTATCCCCAGTATAATCACCTTTAATTCTTCCTTCGCAAATCTCCCTGTCACTCCAGCTCCTTTTGTTGAATCTTTATTTATATATAGTTTTTATTCATCAATGTTAAACAGCCAATAAATTAATTCACTTATCGTTTTATAACTTTGATTATTTGTCACTCTCTCTGTTCTTTTATATTAGGCACTACTGAACAAAATGTACCGTATAGTGGTTTTTTTTCGAGGATAATAAATTTGATGAATGACCTGTATCTGGAAGTTTGTGGAATTAATTTTCACAAATTTCCACTGATCTGCCTTCTTGTACCGTGTTCAATTGATTTAAGGAATTTAATTTCGCGAATCATGAAAAATTCCGCAAAATTTGTTATCTTCAAAAATTTCCCACTATACGGTATACTAAGCCTGACCTGGTGTAGCTAGATGTATGCTGGATGTTGAATGATTTCATTAAGATATTGGTATTGCTAGCTACCTTCGTACCTTACTATAATGTGCAATTAATACCTTCTACCTAAAGTTTTTGCTGGATGTTAATTGATTTCATTAAGATATTAGTATTGCTAGCTACCTTCTTACTATTAGTATAATGTGCAATTAATACCTTCTACCTGAAGTTTTGTGCAACCACATTTTTATTGTCTATTTGTTTACACTATTTTTATACTAAGTATAAATAATGCATTTACACTGTTTGACCACACCTACATAATAAAGGAAGTGTGCGTGGTAATGCTTCTGTTTTTGACCGTAGAGTAGATTTGGAAACAGTAAGTTTCTTAAATTAAGACTATAGTAGACTTAAGTATTTGAGTGTAAAGAAAATCTCAAAAAACATCAAATTTTACAACCATAATTGATTTTTGAATATTAATTGTGGTACGCCCCACGATGACATGATAATGTTTACCTACTTTATAAGCTAACTTAGGCTGACCTGATCAGTTAGCAGGTTGCACAATACCATATTGTAATTTTTAGAGGGACAATTGTCCTGTTTTTATATAACATTTTAATGATACGAGACATTTTAAGGCTATTTGTGCTTTAAATGGATACCTACGCACCAATTGATATTAGTACAATAATGAGCCCAATATTGTAGTGCTCAGTGATTCTGAAAATTTGGAAACACTACAATAATGATGTGATAATGGTCTAAAATTAATATATTGATATCTATTTCTTATTATTATTATTATTATTATTATGTTCTTATTGTTATATTATTATTATAAATAGTATGGCAAAATGTATTTTATCTATTTATCATTTATTTATTTATTGTAGGGTATTCACTCTACCCTGTAGGACTTGAACCAGTAGTTGACTAATACAACCTCAAGATCTTAGTAATTAATAAAGTAATAATATTATTATTATTTGAAATTTGAAAGGAATCTACATGTACATGTACAAATATGCATCTACTTATTTGATATTTTTATTAAATATTTATATAGGTGATAGTTCATGGTTATGGCAGACCACTGTCTGGGAATCATACAATTCCTAATTATACATCATCAACCCTGTCAGCCTTATAAGATAAGGTACATTATTTTATTTGCTGTGTCTACA